TAAAGATCGGTTGCCGCCTCTCCACTTTTCTGGTTGCATAGTCAAGTCCTCTCTTGTTAGTTTATTGAAATAAATCTTGTTGTAAAAAGTAAGATCCCCCATCTCTCCAGGAAAAAGGATTTTTCATCAAAGATTTGATAGGTAAGTTGTCAATAATTTTCCTTCCTTTTCTCTTTTTCAAAATACTACGAGTCTAGAGAGTTCTCCATACAGTGGAACAAGCAAAATATACAATACATTAGAAAAACCAACAAATAAAATCACGTAAATTGTGATATTTTTAGATTCTTTTGACCAAAGAAGATGTAATGAAATCTAACAACATGTTATTGTCTGTATTCTTTTTGCGTTTATTAAATAATATATACATTGAAGACAAAACTATAAGATCCAAATGAATTATTTCTCCACTTTCAAAAAAAGCGTAATGCATACATGTTATGCAAAAAATATAATGAATCAATCAATTATCTAGTACAATGTAAATTTACAACGTTTATTTCTTAACCATTTGTTTGATGTTCGTTCAATATATATGTCAAGCATATGAAATATTAGCAGCAACTTTACCGCACGATTAAAAATAAATATTCATCATTTAATCTACATGCATACATGTTAAATTCTTAGGTCGAATAATTGTATGTTATCTAGCATTGTTCACCGAAAATATATCTTACAATAAAATATTTTTAAAAAAAAAAACAACTAAATAATATATAATAAAAGGAATTATAATAAAGTTTTCCAACTCAAACAAAATACAGATTTATTAATGGAAAAAAAATAAACTTATATTCAAGAAAACATTCTCAATCATTGGGTTACAATAACACTCCCCAGTTGGTTAAATGTAATGTTTTATTTTAAAAATATTTCTATGTAAATAAAACAATAATTTCCTTTTTAACTTTTCATGGTGTTTTGCATCTCAGAACACAGTTATATACTTTACTGTGATCTTAATAAACAATAAAATTAGAACTTTAATCATACTTTAACTAAAGCATTTGATTCTCACCCTACTTAACCTTAAATCCGAATTTCTAAAAATGTTTGGGACAGAGTTGTTTCAATTTCTATGGAATAGTAAAATACATAAGATAAAGAAAAATGTTATAATTCAGGACTATAAATTTGGAGGATTGAAAATGATAGATTACACAGAATTCATTTCTGCTCTTAAATCAAGTTGGGTTAGAAGACTTATTCACTCAGATGCAAACTGGGTAAAGCTGTTTAAAGTTGAACTACAAACAGACATAAGAAGCCCTATAGATAGGAAGCTCAGATTACATTCTTAATTTAACAAAGAAACCAATCAATGATTTAAGAAAGAGGTCCTTAATCCCCAGGTAAGATTTATAAATATACACCAAGAAAACAGAAAGGTGCTATCAGATCATATATGGAACAACCTACGCATAATTATTAACAAAGAATCTTTTTTCTGGAAAAACTATTTTGATGAAGCCTTTGTCTTTTTAAATGACCTTTTTTGATAATGATGGTAATTTTTTAAGTTTTTAGTAAATTCAAAAATGAAAACAAATTTTGTTGAATATTATAATCTGAAGAGAGCTATATTAAGAAGACTTATGTATGCAAGAATAGAGGAAATTAAAAGATTAAAGATTATTGGACCAAATATTCAAATCTCTATTTTTATAATCTATAGAAATAATAAGGGGTGTAAGAATATGTACAAGATATTTATCAATAAAAAGAAAGAGCCAACCAGTTCTCTTTTAAAATGGAAGGTAAACAATACTGTATACAGGGAAATTTTCGCCCCGTTTTATTTTCGCCCCTTTCGCCCTCGTCGCAATTGGGCGAATTTAAAACGGGATGAATTCAAAGAAAAAAGCATTATTTCTTAAACAGAACTGTGCCTGGGCGAATTCAAAAAGAGGCGAAATCGTTTGCATGTGTAAAAGGGCGAAAAAAAGATTAGGCGAAAATAACCCTGTATACAGTATTTTCTTTAGTGAAGCAGATTGGAATGAAAAATTTGAACTTCCCTTCAAAATAACTCATGAATCTAAATTTCACTGACTTCAATTTCAAACATTACACAGAATTATCCCAACAAATTATTCTCTTTTTAGATTGAAGATTTTGTTTAATAAATATTATACAATATATTCAAATTTATGCAGAGTTCAATAATTTTTTTAGCTATAATAATTTTACACATTGTATATCCGACATCATTTACAAAGAATCTTTTACACTACCATCATTTCATACAAACATGTTAATCAAGAAAAATGATATCATTAATAATTTCCAAACATCTGTAAAAATCTTATACATGAGAAACAAGCAATAACAAAAGAAAAAAAATAAATTCAAAAAATCTTGCAGGCTGGTATTATTGTTATGTAAATATTTCCTAAGTTTTTATGTTTCACATTCGTATATATAAAAAACAACAAAAAATAGGGGAAGATAGATTAAAAAAAATAAATGAAAAAATGTATTCATTACAGCAACTTAAAGAGAGCGTCAATATCTTATATTACACATTTAGTGGTCCAATTATAGACTTCAAACAAACTAAATATTAAGCTAAATACATGCAAATAAGAATTCAACATTTGCTATAAAAGATATTTTCGACAAACTTAATTGTTCGTTTAAAAATTTTTTGTTAAATATCTATTTTATTTCCCCCCTTGAATTGGCAATTTGGAATTGTACGAGTAGATTGGATTTGATTTCAATTTTAAAGGAAGCATTGATACTTAAATTATTTACTTTTGCATTTTGATATTTAACGTTGTTTGTCGTTTTCCATATAGTATATTATTCCCGATAGAAACACAATGATAGCTGTTCTTCAGAATGATTTGCAGGGGTGTACTCTCAGGCCACAATAATTAGCAACATAAACTAAAGAAACTGGGGGGATAAGCCGAGCCATATGCCTACATAACGATCGATAAAAAATCAGTAAATTCATTTTTTAAAAAATTCATTTTTTGTTGAATAAATGTAATGCTTATTACCATTTGCATACAAATTAAAAAAAAAAACCTGAATACTGTAACAGCGAAAATGATTCTGATTAACACAAAAAATGGCATCACGCTCAATTTTCACAAAAAGTGATATAACTACATTTTTTAAATAGAGTGGGTCGTCGTACTATTTTTTGAGAACGATTAATGAAAGGCAATGGAAAGATGTTGCTTTCTACACTTGCAAAAATTTTGTACGAAGATCCACTCTACAAAAAAATTAAGTTAATTTACTTAAATTTTCAACATGGCCTTAAAAAATTCTAAGTCCAAATGCGCTTGCTAAATATAGAGAACTGTATGCTATTTAAATGGGTATGTATATGTGACTCCGTGGTATAGTGGTTAGCGAGGAGCTCTTTAAAGGGACGTTTATTGAGGAAAGTGTTCGAGTCATGATTTTTTTTATTTTGGGGGGAGGTGGTTAATCTTGTTTTACTTTATAAAAAATGTCTATAGGAATAACATATTTTTCACTGGAAATAAAAAAATATATATATGAAGTAATGAACTCATTTACAGTAAATTATTTAAAATGCCGGATAAAAATTATAATAGATATTTGAATACTTTTATTCCCGTTTTTATTTATTTTTACTACAAGCGCTTCTAGATCACCACTATCATTATATACAATGTTAACATTTTTATAATATCTCCACAATAAGTGTTAACACTCAATATGCAGATTAATTAATAGAAGTCCCTACCCATGTTAGACACTTGTGACAGTAAATGAAAGTCAACTGTTTAGCTTGTTTAGAATATAAATATGATTTTGAGAACTACTGTAAACATTAAAATGCTTAAGTAAATTCGAACAATTGAGAGATTTTTTTCCAATAAATGTTCTTGCATAGCCGAAAAATGGGCATGGGCACATGGCTCGTTTTATTCCCCCAGATTCTTTGGCCGTTGTTAATATTGATTCTACAAACAAACAGTTTCCTTTAGCTAATCTTAATTGGAGACTGAGAATGCCATGACAAATATATATATTGATTTTTTCCTTACATACAATCACAGGAGAAAACCAAGAAATGTACAATAGTTAAATGCATGGTGTATTAAGAGCATACAATATTGTATATGCAAAATTGCACTAATACATTTTATACAACTATTTTATACAATCATGTTTACATATATATATATATATATATATATATATATATATATATATATATATATATATATATATATATATATATATATATATATATATATATATATATATAAAGTTATGGTTATTGTACAGCTTGTATTTTACTATTTTGTTTATTTGTTTGTATGTTGTTTAACGTCCCTCTCGAGAATTTTTCACTCATATGGAGACGCCACCACTTGCCGGTGGAGGGCTGCAAATTTTGTCCTATACTCGGCACTTACGGCCATTGAGCAGTGAGGGATCTTTTTCGTGCCAGCACCTACTGCGACAAGGGACCTCGATTTATACGGTCTCATCCGAAGGACCGGTCTCCACGTCCCACAGTGGAATTCGAATCCGCGACGTAAGGATCAACTCCTTACTTCGCGAGTATAGAGCAGACGCTCTAACCACTGCGCCACGCGGGTAAGTATTTTACTATTAAAGCACAGTTTAAAGCAAATATTAACTTTATTTTCTTTCATGGAAATGGCAGTTAGGGTTAAAAATATAATTCTTTACAATGCTTTTTTTTTTTTTTTAAATTGATACAACTATTTCAAATCTCTCATTTCTTTTTAAATGGAATAATCATAGATGAAATGTAATTCATTTTCTCATCTTTGCTAAAATGGCAAATCTTTGGTATACAAAGTTTCGAATATCTTCCAAATGACAAAAAAATTATAAATAGACTATTTTGCAAGATAAGGGGTTTCGGTTTTTCATGGGAGAACTCAAGCATATAGGACGATCAAAGAGAAAGTAGATCTTATGGGTATTTCCTTTTATTCTAATTTTAACTTATGGGGATTTTCATACGTTTTTTAGACACATCACGGAAATCAGGTAAGTTTTATGTAAATAGCATTTGATGACTGTAAAATTAAACAGTTATATCTGCAAAATTATTTACATACATATTTGAATTGTAAATGGTTTAACAACTTTGCATATTTAAATAAAAACAACTTTGGAAACAAAATAATAATGTCACCAAAGATATATTTAAATCTACACAACATTCAAAGAGATACTAATAGTATTTATAATTCTCATAATTCATGTCAGGGTGTATTTAATAACTTCTCTGATTCCTAGGAAGTGTTTAATGTCCTTACCTATTTATTCTTATTTTTGAGCATTAGAATGGATCACATTCCTCGTCTATCTGAGGTCCTGTACGTGGGTCTGTGTCGTAAGATAGGGACACCAACAGAAGTGGCCATCAGAAGGGACGTGATGGACATGTGGGAGATGATAGAAAAAAATAAACAAATATATACTGGAACTACATATATGTTTACTGGTAGTTATAGGGAGGGTTTCAGGTTTGACTCCTCTGATATGGACGTGATGTTTTGGAATCATAGCCATAAAATGATAAGCAAAGTTTCTCAGTTCAGCATTTACGATACATCAAAACATACCATTATCCTGATGGAGGACACTGATACACCCCCTGGATTTGTCATTTTACAACTTCTAACACAGCCAAAGGATACATATATCACATCAGCACTTGTTTCCTTGAAGGGAATAGGTTATCTTTCAAATTTGTTATGGAGGGAAAACAATTTGCAAATCATTAGGGAATACAAGGGATATCACACTGTCGAAAGTCATGGTCCTTGTTCAACTGGTTGCCATGGAAATATTGAAATTGATCTTGCTTTTTGTCTTAAAAGTATACACTGGACAAAAATAACAAGTACTTGGATTGAACGATCTCTTAATTACAACTGGCCTCCTGCATTTGTGTTAAATGAAATTCTGAAGAACGGCTATCATTGTGTTCCTATTGGGAATAATATTTTATCTCCCTTTTATGAATTAGAGTGGAGATTATCATTTTCTCAAGCCGAACAAAAATTAGTGTGTACCATGAACCATACCCAATTCTTGTGTTACGGACTTCTGAAAATATTTCTAAAGGAAGTAATCAAGGACAGTATTGACGAACCATTACTTTGTTCTTATCACATCAAAACCACAATGTTTTGGATAATACAGTTGGAAACTATTCAATGGTGCCCAAACAATTTACTGAATTGTTTCTGGAAATGTTTCAAATATCTCGTTCATTGTGTTTACCGTGGCGTGTTTCCCAATTTTTTTATTCCTCAAAATAACATGTTTTTAAACAAAATAATTGGATCTGCTCGTGGTTTTCTATTCGAACAACTTAATCAGTATTACAGAATGGGAGTGTCTTGTCTTCTTCTTAGTCCGACTCTCAGATCAATCCTGGAACCAGCTCTAAGAACTCCGTCATTTGCTGTGCATTTTCTCGAGGGACATGTAAAATCTGATGTAGAAATAGATTATCATTGCAGGTTTGAAATATTTTCTCTTTCGTTTTCAAACATGACTTATCAAGAAATGTTTACACAATTGAAATCGATAGAAAGATTATTGCAATTTTTATTTTCGCCATGCCAAACACTAACATTACAATGTTGTACAGCTCAAATTCTTATTGACATGGTGTTCATTGCGGCACACAGTTCTTTCTGCAATACTCATAAAGAGATGTTTGCTTTAGAAAGAACTTTTTGTAACATACTGAAACTGGCAGGAAGTATAGGTTGTGATTCTGATTTACTGTATTTAGCTTTGTATTACTATAGAATTGGTAGATATCATGGAACGATTAGGTTAATTCATTTCATTAGAAAAAGACTTTCACAGCCTTTCATCTTCTATAATCTTCGAGACGAACAGAGATATAAATCTGTATGTAGACTGTCTCCGTCTGGACGAATGAAAATGGCAAGGGCAAAGGACCTAGTCCTTAATGTGGGTGTTCTATATATTCCAGAATTATTATTAGAACAACAAGAAGCCAAGAACAGTGGAGAGCTCTCTCTATTTATATCTCCATTTCTTACACTAGAATGGTTGTCCGTGTTATCTTACTACAGACTTGGGAATCGGCCTCAATGTCAACAGTCACTGTCGGACTTAAAAACACTGCTGTTGTATGATGACGGGAGACATATACCTACAGATCACAGAGATCTAGCCTGGCAGATACTGGGAATCTGTCAGCACCTTGTGGGGGACTTACTTGGGGCATTACAGTCTTATCAAGAGTCATTAAAAAAGGAGCCATGCCACCGAATACAGGAAGCTACAGAAGCTAGAATAAAATATACTGAAATGCAACTTCACAGACACATTCTGTAATCGGACATATTTATACAGTTCTCTGTCGTAAAGGCATATAGGACCTCAAGAGGTGGTGCACTTAAACTATAGAAAAAGATATTTCAAAAAAAAATCTGTGACATATTGGACATTCAGCAATTTTATTCAAAAATTTATTCAGTGTAATCATTTATTTTCTATGCAAGCATAATTATTTGAATGTTTTAGTCCGGTCAAAATATGTTAATGGCTATGTCATTATAAACACCCTGCATACAGATTTAAATTGTGTTGGTTTGTTAACTTTGAGACTATTTCATCATTGTGAATAAATCAATTAATTACAAATTTAAAGTAGTTTATCATATTCAAAAAAAATTTAAACAAATTTTTCTTAGTGATAGCAGCTTCTCCTCCATGAGGTGAAACCTTTAAGGACATGATCAAAAGATTAATATCTGATTGAAAAAATATACAAATTTAAATAGTTAGAGGAAGGGGTTAAAGGTATTTAAAATTTTATTGTTGTCCGATACATGTATCGGTAATTTTAAATAAGTGCATATTTAACAATAAAATTGCAATAATTGGTAATTGAATTGTTTCTGTTAAACATAAACAAAAGAAATATTGATTGGATAAAAATTAATTTATATCGTATAATCAGTGTTGCCTTCTTCAGTCACAATGAATTATATGTCAAAAACGTATCAATCAGCTTGTCCTAATGTTAAAAAAATGTTCAATACGAAGGTATTTTTGAAGGAGAAATTGGTTTATTTTCTGCACTTAATGGTGGAAAATTAAATTGCAAGGAATTAATTCAATAGCTTCCCACGTTATACAGAAATAAACTGGGTTGGAACAGCTTGTGCATTTTTATTAATATAAAGCGTAAACTGCCAAAACACAGGTTATATATTGAAGTTCTCTGAAGACCAAAACTTCCCTAAGGTATGTCATATTTTGTTATTATTGGTATACACCAAAACCTTAAATGAGTGAGTTTTATTTTAATTTTTTTTTTATTTATTTCTTTATTTTTTGGAACTTGGTGTTCACTCTACCCTTTAGCCATGGACAGCAGGCACGTAGTATCGGGCCGGGGACGGGAGGGGGGCTGCCACCTACCTTCTGCTTTCCTTAAAGTGTTTTTATCACGTCTTAAATTTTTTTGATATGACAAAGTTTACATGTTAATAATATCATATATTTAAAAATCTTTGCTAGAAAATAAATATTGCTGATGTTTCAGCGATTCAAAGTTTGAATTTCTCAACATGCATATTTTGATCGCCGATGGTATGCGCCATTGCTCTGACGTCATAGGTGTCAATCCTAGTCAAGCAAAGTACTTCTTGTGCATACAAAACGGCTCATTCGTTGTGTCTATTAAACCTGTTAGTAAATAAATAAGTGATAATTGGATAATTGACAGCTAGTAAGGTATAATTTGTGGCTTTAGGATGCACAAATGAGCTCCAGAAAGGTTTTAGGAAGACTTTTCTTCCGCATTTCCTGGACTTAGTCGAGAAGTGAAAGGGGGTCCTTTTTTCGGCAAACGCGAGGGCTTTGTCTCCATTCAGAACAATTCTTTATGCCCGATCAGGATTTTTTTCTGTACTATAAAATATTTTAAAGACATTGTACCTTTTTAAAACGGAAAAAATACCCAACACGCATTTTTAAAGTCGCTCAGAATCTAGTACATGCTAGTAGGAATGTTGTGAACTTCGTCATGGCGTACGGCGCCATCGAACAGTGTTGAAGAAAGATCAATTCTAGTATTATGATATTCACTGGAACAAATAGAATATTTACATACAGTTCAATAAAATATTGAAGAAGTTGAATTTAAAATTCTTATATCTATGGATTTTTACAAAGTCCAACTTTAGTTATTCGTTCTATTTAGTTGGAAGTCCCGAGTTGTCAACGGCTTCGTCTTCGGTGTCCTCTCCTATTGTCGGAATATTTTCTTGGTTATTTCTCTCTGCTAGACGTTTATATATAAAAGATTGACGTCTATAATTAAAAGAATATCGTCGAAGTCAAAATTTCCACCGACCTTATTGTGTAGTGTATATTATTCAACATCAAAATCTATTTGATACATTTTTCCTACGATAAGATTTACGAGTTCTAATTGACCATTGACACCTATGACGTTTTAGTACCATGTGACCCCTATGTAATTAGTGAAGATTTTTACCTCGAGAACTGTATTACGGGCGTTTTCTCGCCTAATTATGACTGTTTTCATATTTATTTCATAATTAAACGATAATTATGTGTTTCAAGAATATAATAGTGTTTCGTTTTTAAAAAAATTAGATACGTGATAAAAACCCTTTAATGTTTTACTGTCAATTTAGTATGAGAATGATCATTTAAAGATCGGTTGCCCCCTCTCCACTTTTCTGATTGCATAGTCAAATCCTCTCTTGTTAGTTTATTGAAATAAATCTTGTCGAAAAAAAGCAAGATTCCCCCTCTCCTAAGGAAATAGGATTTTTATCAAAGATTTGATAGGTAAGTTGTCAATAACATTCCGTCCTCCCTCTTTCACCGTTCACTACAAGAGCGCTCACTTCGTGATGAGGAGGTCGTGAGTTCGAATCTAGGCCGCGACTGACCTAAGTCTATAAAAAATGGATAGCAGCTGTTCCTTCGCCATGCGCTCGGCACTTTGAAGTAAAAATTGCGGGTCCTTCGGATAAGACCTTAAAAACCGAGGCCTCGTGTCACGGTAGGCGTTGGCACGATAAATGGCCCTGAGTGCCGAGTATAGGTCACAATTTGAAACCCTTCACCGGTATATGGTGACGTCTCTATATGAGTGAATAATTCCCGAATGGGACGTAAAACAACATACAATCAATCAATCAATCTTCCCTATTTCAAAAAACTACGAGTGTAGAGAATTTCACTTACAGTGGAACAAGCAAAATATACAATACATTAGAAACCAACAAATAAAATCACGTAAATGGTGATATATTTTAATTCTTATAAGCAAAGAAGATGTAATGAAATATAACAACATGTTATAGTCTATATTCTTTTTACATTTATTACATAATATATGCATTGAAGACAAAACTGAATGATCCAAATGATTCATTTCTCCACTTTCAAAAAAAAAAAGTACATGCATACAAATATAATGAATCAATCAATTATCTAGTAGAATAAACAATGTAAATTTGCAACGTTTCTTAAACATTTAGTCAATGTTTGTTCAATATATATGTCAAGCATATGAAATATTAGCAGCAACCTTACCACACGATTAAAAATAAATATTTATTATTTAATCTACATGCATACATATTAATTTCTTAGACAGAATAATTGTATGTTATCTAGCATTGTTCACCGAAAATATATCTTATAATAAAAGACAAAAAATATGTATTAGAAGGAATTGTAATAAAGTTGTCCCACTCAAACAAAATACAGATTTATTAGAGGAAAAAAAGATAAACTTATAAGTCAAGAAAATATTCTCTATAGTTGGGTTGCAATAACACTCCCCAGTGGGTTAAATTGAATGTTTTATTTTAAAAATATTTCTATGTAAAGAAAAAAAAAATCATTTCCTTATTAACTTTTCATGGTGTTTTGCATCTCAGAACACAGTTACATGTACTTTACTGTGATCTTTATAAACAATAAAATTAGAACTTTAATCATACCTTAACTAAATCATTTGATTCTCACCCTACTAAACCTTAAATCGGAATTTCTAAAAATGTTTGAGACAGAGTTGTTTCACTTTCTATGGAATGGTAAAATACGTAAGATAAAGAAAAATGTTATAATTCTGGACTATAGATATGGAGGATTGAAAATGATAGATTACACAGAATTCATTTCTGCTCTTAAATCATGTTGAGTTAGAAGACTTATTCAGTCAGATGCAAACTGGGTAAAGCTGTTTAAAGTTGAACTATAAACAGACATAAGAAGCCCTATAGATAGGAAGCTCGGATTACATTCTTAATTTAACAAAGAAACCAATCAATGATTTTAGGAAAGAGAGCCTTAATTCCCGGGTAAGATATATATATATATATATATATATATATATATATATATATATATATATATATATATATATATATATATATATATATATATATATATATATATATATATATATATATATATATATATATATATATATATATATATACTAGTATACAAAGAAAACAGGAAGGTGCTATCAGAACATATATGGAATAACCTTATTATTAACAAAGAATCTTTTTTCTGGAAAAAAAAACTATTTTGATTAAGCCTTTGTCTTTTTAAATGACTTTTTTGATAATGATGGTAATTTTTAAGTTTTGATACCATAGTGAATTCAAAAATGAAAACAAATTTTGTTGAATATTATAATCTGAAGAGAGCTATATTAAGAAGACTTATGTATGCAAGAATAGAGGAAATTAAAAGATTAAAGATTATTGGACCAAATATTCCAATCTTTATTTTTATAATCTATAGAAATGATAATGGGTGTAAGGATATGTACAAGATATTTATCAATAAAAAGAAAGAGCCAACTAGTTCTCTTTTAAAATGGGAGGAAAACAATATTTTCTTTAGTGAAGCAGATTGGAATGAAAAATTTGAACTTCCCTTCAAAATAACTCATGAATCTAAATTTCACTGACTTCAATTTCAAATATATCACAGAATTATCCCAACAAATTATTCTCTTTTTAGATTGAAGTTTTTGTTAAATAAATATTATACAATATATTCAAATTTATGCAGAGTTCAATAATTTTTTTAGTTATAATAATTTTACACATTGTATATCCGACATCATTTACAAAGAATCTTTTACACTACCATCATTTCATACAAACATGTTAATCAAGAAAAATGATATCATTTATAATTTCCAAACATCTATAAAAATCTTATACATGAGAAACAAGCAATAACAAAAGAAAAAAAATTTTTAAAAAAATCTTGCAGGCTGGTATTATTCCTATGTAAATATCTCCTAGGTTTCTATATTTCACATTCGTATATATTAAAAAAAACAACAAAAAATAGGGGAAGATAGATAAAAAAAAAATAAATGAAAAAATGTATTCATAACAGCAACTTAAAGTGAGTGTCAATATCTTATATTACACATTTAGTGGTCCAATTGTAGACTTCAAACTAAA